AAGAAGAAAAAGGAGGAGGAGGAGGTTGGAATGCTTTGAGATTCTTTCCTGATCAAATTGGTTCGAAATCAATCAGTAGTATGTCTTGCGCTTAATTGGCAAAGGAAGTCGAGAATTATGGAAGGCAAAAGAGTTCAACACTTGTAAGTTGTAATAGAGATGGATAAGATAGTTTATTGTGCATGATGACTCGAGATCACATGTTTAATATTGTAACGAGATGAAATGAAATTTTACGTCAAAATTAACAAAACATTTATTATTTGATTATTATTATTATTATTAATTTTTATTTTTTGATATCCAAGTATCCTATCTTACATCAGACTATGTCCTGGACCACCCATCCTTGACCCCTCAGTGATGGGTGAAGGTTAATCGCGGAATATGCCCTATGATTATTATTTGGGAAGCCGGCAGTTGGTTCAAGTTGGGGTCAACAGCTGACGTGCTCCATAGTGATACTAATTAATAAAAAACACATTAAACCTCACTTAATTATTTAATTATTACTCTATTATTTTGGTTTATTCTTCATAGATGCTATTGCCTTTTAATTTACAACTGTACAAACCGACTCTTTGTGCATACTTTTCATAGATGCTATTGCCTTTTAATTTACAACTGTACAAACCGACTCTTTGTGCATACTTTTCTCTATATATATATAACTAAGAACATATATATATTTTACAATATAAATACGAATTTAATTTTACTTTTAGCCCTTATTTGTTTCCCATTATTTTCAAAATATATTTCTCTCTTATTTCTAACCACAATTCTTCAATAAAATAATATTACACGCAAATATTTTTGTTACTTTTTAATCACACATTCTCTATTAAATCACTATTCCAAAATGCATTTTTGACTAAAAATGTAGCTTAAACAACTTTTAGTCGATATATAAGATTAGATCTGTTCATTTCTCAGGGGTTGAGGGTTCATGCCTTGTCATGTTGAATTTGAACAATAATAATTCATCATCTTACTACATGGATGAATCCGATCCAAAATATGAATCGTAAAAGAAAAATTATATTCAACGGATCATAGGAATAACGCTGAATAGTACTTTTAAGCTAAAGAGGAATCTTCTAGTAGAGTTGTAACGGGCATTTCTATCATTCTTGATAACTCTACTGCATGTGTAAAAACTCGGGATTGCACATTATTAAAGAAGAAAAATGAAAGTTAAAAATAAAAAAACTTTGGTTCAAAGACCATATGCTTGAGACATGCAATCTTGAGGAAAATTACTAAAGGCAATAAATAAAAAAAGGTTGTTCCAATTCAAACAAACAGAAAATTTTCCTGTCACTGACCATTAAAATGGGACTGCAAAGAAAGTAAAATTAAATAATCAAAAACCTTAATTATGCAATTTTGTAATCTTAGTAACTATAGACTGATAAAAGTACAAACTTCTGTTGACCACTTGAAGTCACCCCTTTGAACATGGTAAAATATTAAGACAAGCAAAATACAAAAAATATTTAGACAAAGACTGGGGTAGTTGATTAATGAAATTTTAATTATTTTAAGATTCCTGCATATTTTGCAACCATTGCGGACCTGCCTCTACTGAGAAAGATTGTGGCAAAGAAAATACGAGAGTTCTTATTTTTTATGACAAAGAGTTTGTGAATTGTACAACCACCAAATGAATATTTCGAGAGGTTGTCTCGTTACTCAGGAAATGATCAAGATCCCNNNNTTACTCAGGAAATGATCAAGATCCCTCCGTCTCTAACATGTTCAGCTTGTCAAAAGAACTCTGTGCAGAAAACAAGAAATTTCGGAGAATGATCTGATTTGATTGAATGAACAAACTAGCTTATACATAGCCTTACAATAACTGGGAAAAGATCAAAATAGCACATCCCTTGACAGTAGGGAAAGTAAAACAGAACAGGTAAACTAATTAATAAACAAAATACTAATAACTTTGACATCCTCTCTACACATGCATATGAGCGAACACCCAAGAAGTCAAGTATCTTCAAAAATGCATTAAGCGTCAATGGTTTAGTCATATATCTGCAACTTGTTCTCGAGTATGACAATGAACCAACTCCACAACTCCATCTTTTGTGAGCTCACGAAGAAAATAAAAAACGAACATCAATATATTTGTTGTGACCATTTTAATTGTAGAACTGTTATCACAAAAAATTGTTATGGAATCATGTTGAGCACAGCTGAGAATTTCTAATATCCTTCTTAACCATATTGCTTGACAAGCACACGAAGTTGAAGCGGTGAACTCAGCTTCGATAGTGGACAAGGTGACTATAGATTTCTTCTTTGAGGACAAAGGCACTGCTCCTAAGCCCAACATAAATACATAACTCGAAGTACTTTTTCTCTCATCCAAGTCCCTAGCATAATCACTATCCGTGCGGGCAATCGGTTTTTCATTTCCTCCCTTCTTGTAGAATACACCAAAATCAATGGTTCCCTTCAAATATCGTAGTAATATCTTTGCAGCTTGCAAATGCAGTTCCATAGGGCAATCCATTAATCTACTGATGATGCTTACCGCAAACATGACGTCTGGTCAAGTAGCAGTCAAAGTACATAAACTACCCATAATTTACTTATAAAAAGTATAGTCTATCCTCATTCAACTTGTGTCTTTCATAAGTTTGAAACCAGGAATCATAGGATTTCGAACTAAATTACATTTGTCCATACGAAACCTCTCCAACACCTAGTGTACATATTTCTTTTGACTGATAAATATACCATCTACTCTTTGCATTACTTCAATGTCAAGAAAATATCTCATCTTTCTGAGATCAGTCATATCATACTCAAGCATCATGAACTTCTTAAATTCAACAATCACAAACTCGTCATTTCTAGTAAATATAAGATCATCAACATAAATGCACACAATCAAGAGCTTACCTCCTTTTTCAGCTTTGATGAATAAAGTATGTTCATGTTTGCATTTTTCCAAACTTTTTTTTCACAAAGTAGGACTCTATATGAATATGCCAAGCTCGAGGGGCTTGTTTAAGTCCATGCAAAGCCTTCTTCAATTTGTACACCTTCTATTCATTCCCTTTATGTTCATAGCCAAGAGGTTATTCCATAAAAACTTCTTTGCTGAGTTCATCATGTAAGAATGATTTTGCATCTAACTCATATATT